GCTGTGGGTGGGGGGGTGTGTGTGTACGTGCATATTCCCGCACCCAGGAGGGGGTTGCCGAGGTCTTTCTCTCTCCCTTCCTTGTTCTTCCTTCTCAGAAACCCGCTCCTGCCAAGGCAGAGCCGAAGCCAAAAAAGCTAGCGGCAAAGGTGAGGGTCCCTGGGAAGTGGGGAGGGAGAGTAGGTGGTCGCGTTCGTTCTGCAGGTGCCCGGTGGCGTCTTGTTTCGGGGACCGAGTGCTTTTATTCGTCTTCGCACGTTCCAGGTGGGAATGCTGGCTTAACTGAACTACCAGTTTCGGATGCTTGTGCCGGTATCTGCAGGCACACTCCACCACTGTTTGAGCAGGTCCTTGTCAGGTGTCGCGCAGAAATGCGGGCACCCGTTCATGGGTGTCAGACGGTACTTTGGTGCTGAGCAGAACTACTCGAATGGTGAAGCAACTGTACATGGAGTTGTGTTTCATCACTGTCACAGAAGGGGATGTAACACGCTCACATTTTACAGCAGAGTGTTAGGGCAGGAAAAAAATATTTGAGTTACTCGGGCAGCCACTGAAGATGATCTGGGTTTCCATTCATGAACCGTAGCTTTCAGGCCTGTGCGTGTAGGTGTAAGTTAAGCGTGGCTTAGTATGACCTTTCAGTTTTTCAGGATAGCCTTTGCAATGCCAGTAACTGAGGTGTAAAATTCTTTGTTTCTTGGGAGAAGTAAACCAGGCTGTGTATCTGTTGGCTTGCTGGTGTATGCATTTTTAAGTGTTCCTTTGTGATTGACTGTAAGCTTTTCTTCTTAAAGTACAGATTAAGAGCATTTCAAATACACTAATACAGAACTCCGCTTTGCAGGGTTTTTGGCGTTTTCATTTTATTAATCCTACTGAACAGTTACCAGTAATGCACCTTCATTCCAGTGGCTCAAATATTGGTGCATTCCCATTCTTGACGTTGTAAGCCTAAAGAATTTGGGGAAGCTTTCCAATTTTACTTCAGTTCTGATTCTCCTTTTTTTTTTCCAGTGCCTTTGTGTGGTGCATCTAATTCTTACTGCTGCTAGTTGATGCTGACTGATACCCATGATACTGACTTGCTGCCTATAACTACTTCTAGAAAGAAACATTTCCACAGTTCATAGCTGGGAACATATTCATGTAAATCAAGTACATCGCAAACAATGGTCAGCTTAGAATATTAAGTAGAACACCTTGCACGAGGCCCCCATGGAATACTGCTGTGATGTGAATATGTGAACAATCTTTTCTTTTTTTTTATAATCACCATTACTGTTGGCAATTCGAATAAATGTATGACTTGTTTTGCATTTGATCCTCTTTGTTCTAAAACTCATGCTGTCACTAAAACCCTCTGTCATTTGGAAACTTTCTCATTGTTAATGTAAAAATTTGTTTTGTACTGATTGTGTTTTATTTCTCCAGCTTCGGTATTTTCTCTCTCATTTTAGCTATCTCTGGGCTTTTCTTTAAATGGATATCAGAAGTATTTCACTGTTACGTTCCAGTCAAATGATAGATTTAATTTTTTTTTAATTACCTTTTTTCTGTATTTGATCAATCAAAAGATGCTTCTTTGCATCGACTTTGTAACTTTTTAAAACTTTGCTGACGGTATTTTTTCTGGTTGGGAGAAGTTTGCTCATTATGGAGTTACTTATGGTGGGGCTTTTTTAAAAAAAAATTAGTGAAGGAAAAATACATTTTCACAATCAAAACACACACATCTACGTGTTCTGAAGTTGTCCGTTACCTGAATTTGTAATAGCCTTTATAACTTTTCAGAAGGATTTTTTTTCTGTTGGCATGTTTCAGCTATTTTCTCTGTGCTCGAGGATTTAAAAAATTATCTGCTCTAAAACTAGCAGAGAATTTCTGAAGTTTTGTGGACATTGACAATTTAGTTACCCGACAGAAGATGCTTCAGCATTGATTATCTTTTTTTTCTTTACCTTGCATATCTTGTGTATGTTAGTTACTGCATGCTTGTATCCAGTCGTGTAAAACGCCTAAAACTTTTGCTCAATAGTTGCGATTGGTTGACAAAACTGTATTTTTTTTTATGAAGACAGTATTTTACGTGAGCATTCACATAAAATAGGAAATGTGTTCAGACAGCCATTAAAAAGTTGCATGTGTGAAGAAAGGAAGTTGCATGGTTTTTGTAAGGAAGAATGCTTGGAGTGAAGATAGTATGGAATACTTCTCACCAAATGGTTTCCACTAGTAATCCAAGACACACATTTCTACAGTACTTAAAATATGCAAAAGTGAGAACGTTGTTTCTTGGAGTGAATTTTAGGTCAGAGACAACAAATTAGGACATAATTTGAAGAACGTGCTTATGAAATGCATACAGTATTTTTAATGAGATTAGACACATTTTAAGGTAGATCAGTGCAGTGGTCTTCTGCTTAGAAGTGTAAATGCATTACGTTCTCTTGCCACTTGCTCACATTGTACCTGCCCAGAAGAAGTGTTACAGGCTGTCATTTATTGAAAATTTTTGTTGGTATCATAATGTTCGACAGATGGTGTCAAAACCGGTGCATTTATGTAATTCTGAATCAGAAATATTTGGTAAGTATGGGGATCAGCTGGAGGACAGGCGAAATTTGTAGCATTTGGTTGCTGCAAGGAATGCCTGGGAGGATGAATTACCTGTATCTGTGACAGTAGCTCAACTGGAAGGACTGCATTGCTACTTTTTGTGCACCACGAGGTTAAATCATATTTTGGAAATTTAGCCATTAGAATCTAGTTGTCTTCTCATGACAGTTTGATTCATTTTACTGACTTACCTGAAAGTGACTATTTGTCTGTAGTTTGGAAAACTTTTTTGGCAGCTGAACTACGTATTAGCTCATTGGTTGTTGGTCATAGTTCTTGCTGTTTAGCAAGTCTGTCTTGGTTTTGTGTGGTGGCTATTATTTTCAGAGTTTACCTAGCAGGTCACAGGCATTTACTTACTGGAAATTTATTTCATTGTAGGATAAATCTGAGGACAAGAAAGCTCAATCAAAGGGGAAAAAGGGGCCTAAAGGAAAACAGACAGAAGAGACAAACCAAGAACAGACGAAGGACAACTTGCCTGCAGAAAATGGGGAAGCTAAAAGTGAGGAGGTAAAGTCATCTGTGCTTTGGTGCAAAGCCAAAGGATAACTTAACTGTACTGGTTTATCCAAACATCTGTCAGAAACGTATGCAGTTCTTACAGTAGAATCTATTTCTGCCAAAAGAAAGATGCAGGCTGTTGAAACAGTAGTAGATATACCGGGAAAATTTTTGTTGCCCCAAAAAGAGTTGCAGTGATGCGGTAGCAGTCCCTGAAATTAAGGAAAAAGGTGAGAATTTTACCAAAGTCCCGAGACAGGATAATGTCCTTCAGAGAGTGGCTGTTTCCCCGGCAGGTAGGTCAAAATAATGGCAAAATAATACAGGGTGCACAGGGGGTATATCGCTCGGGAGTGGGGGTCAGGGGGAGGTGTCTGTCTTCAGATGGTTTGGTTTGGGTTTTAGTCTGCCTTTGCCATTGCTGGAAGAGAGGTTCCTTCTTGCTACAAAAGTTTTTTGACAAATGATACATTAATTTTCTTGGGACTGGAAATGCCCAAAGTTGAAATGATTTAACCAAAGCTGAGAAAACATTTATAGGAGTCAGCGATACGGACGCTGGTGGTAGAAGGGGCAGGTTGGTGCAGGGATGGAAGAGAAGGCGCAAGAACTGCTAATAGTTCTTGGTGCTGAAGAAATGAACGTGCCGAATCAGGCTTGGCTGCAATACTGTGCTAAAATGGCTGTGTGGCTGAAGTGTTTGGAGTTGCTGATCATCTAACTTAAAACATCCTCCACATTGCGTTCTTTTTCTGGAATGTGGACATAATTTAGTTTTAAATTTAGGACAAGATCTGTAGGGAGAAGCAGTGCCTCTTACTAGGGCAGCTGTTAACAACTGGATGAAATGCAAGTTTTCGTGTGGTAACAGGCCTAGAATTAGTCTCCGGTTTCTGCAGTATTGAATGCCTCACTCATTTTAATTAGCTCAGCAGAGTTTGCTGATCAGATAGATGATTTTTTTAATTTAAATGTGTGATTCATGCTTCCTGTCTGGGTGCTGTATTGAAAAGTAATTTTTTTAAGATGGGGAAAAAAAAAGTCTTACCTGAGTTCTATCACACTGACCTATCAGTGTGCAGATAGATCTTCAAGTAGAGGAAAGGAGTATTTGGTTTTTAGGCAGATGATGCATTTTGGTGGGTGAGGAAGGTTCAGGATGGTAGTTGAGTGTACAACTTACAGTTTTTCATTTGCAAGCTTGCAGTGTGATCTTTGTGAAGAAGTCATGCTATAAGTAGGAATTCTTTAGTTACCTTCTGGGTAGCTCTGGTTCTGTATTCCTGTCACGTAACTTGGTCTTTAATTTGTGCTTGTGGTAGTTCAGCAGTACCAGTGGAAGTTAAATTGGGCAGTATTTCTCAGCTGGGGTCTATTCTGTACACTAGTGCAGAGACGATGTAAATTTACAAGGAATGGATGATGACTTCTGGGGTACATCTTCATTCATGCTGGTCTCACGTTGCTCACACCAGCCAAAATTGTAGGTTTAATATAATACCCAAGTCTAGAGGAGTGAGAGGCATAGTCTACCCAGTTGGAGGTTACTGTTTCCTATAAAGGCAACAGTCAGCAATGCTGTTGTCAATCTGTGATCTGGTGAAGGGCCAGCAACAACTTCTGGTGACGCTGAGAGGGACTCAGGCCTGTGAGTGGAAATGGCTTCTGTACTTCATCCTTCAAAAGCTTCCCCCAGGCAGCAGTAAAGACTGAACGGGTGTTAGGGTTCCTGTTTGGGTACTACTGAGACAGGACAATCTGTTCTGCAAAGCTTTGGAATAATCAAGTACAATTTTTATGTTAGTAGATTTGTTACATTCCTTTTTTTAACCTACACTGCAAACGCAGCGAGTTTTGCAATCTAAAGGGAGTTGTAATTTTAACCAGTTAGGTTTGTATGAACTTGCTCTGAAGTTGAGGTACAGCATATAGAGACTTGAAAACAGTATAGCTCTGCTGCTGCAGTTCAGTCTCACTGAATGCGTTTGTACAAAATTTTGTTTAATCTAATGCAGCACTGTGTTTTTAAGTCTTAATTACTTTTTTTTACTTTTTTACAATGTTTTCATGGTAAGATTTGCAAATATGTTAACAGTGCTGGCTGCACTGAAATTTAAATGCATGAGGTGTGTCTAGTGTCTTTTCTGAAGACCCCATATGCAGGGATTTTAGCTTAGGTTAAAAAGCCCCCTTTTCCTGTCATAAAGTCAGTAATTACTGAAACGGGCCTTGTTATTTTTTAGAAAAAAAAAAAAATCCTTTGCAGTGTGTATCGAGTAGCAACAATAGCAACATTCTGAAATTCACACTGATGCATCTCAGGAGATAGAAGCCTTTTCAAGACAGCTTGGTTTCAGTAGGTCATTATCCAAGAGAAGTAAGCGGATCATGACACCGACTTATTAAGACCGTAAAGCGCGATGTGTAGAAACAAGTCATGGTTGTTCTGTCTGTCAAGTTAGCCAACTTCTGCATTAAAAATACTATGAACTAAGAGGCTGAGTCACTTAGAAACTTTCTGCATTGAAGTGTTCTGGTGGTTTTTTTGTCTTCTTTTCAGACCCCAGCATCTGATGCGGCAGTAGAGAAAGAAGCTAAGCCTGAGTAACGTCTGGTACCAAGTCTTTAATTGGTGGTCCTTATACCTTTCTTCTTGTACAATGCAGAGGAATATTTTTATCAACTATTTTGTAAATGCAAGTTTTTTAGTAGTTCTAGAAAACACATTTTTAAAAAGGAGAGAATCCCAACTCAACCCTTTTTTTTACATATTTAGATAAGTGTAAATGCTTTTTTTAAGTGGTAAAATCATGTACTGGTTGTCTGTTTTCTATGAAACCAGAAATTAAAGGCATGTTACGTAAAGGAGAGGGCTTTGAAGCCTTGATTAGGCTTCACGTTCCAGAGACTGTGAGGGACAGTTTTTCTACCCTATTAAATGAAGCATAACACAGATCAGACTTTGGAATTCATAACAATATGTTGAGAATGTCTTAACGTTTTAGTTATTTATCTTTATCTGTGGTTGTACCATCAGTAGAATTGCTTATCTAATAAAACTGCTCCCTAGTGTTGGATTCCCTGGTGAGTGATGTATATCTGTGACAGTTATTTTTGGTAGTTGCAGCTTTTATTTTTTTCCAACAACTTTGTAGCTGTGATGCAAAAGATTGGAAAGTGTTATTACATCTTTAAATACTGACTAAGCAAAAGTTTCTGCTTGGCAGACATAACTTGTTGTATCAATGTTCAAGATACTGGAACGTCGCATCCAGTTCTAAAGAACAGCTTGTCTACAAGGATCAAACAAAAAATATTTGAAACAGTCTTAGGAAAAAAAGAAAAAGAATTATAGTTTTTAGATTTTAAAAACTATGTGAATAAAAACAATTGTAAAATTGTTCATAGTGTCTGTGATCACCAAATGAAAGCCAAATAAATCTTGATTATGAAAGGATGTTTCTGTAGCTCCTGCATCGACTATGACAAGTCACAACCTAAGTGGTGTAAGTTTTGATTCTTAATCATGTTCTTAATATTGTTCAAAAGGTACTTTTCAAGAGATAGGTAGTCGTGCAGGGAGTGAGTAGCAAGGAGAGAACTGTAGTTGCAGTCTCAATCTGGGCTTCCAGTTTGAAAGCCAATAGCCTAGTGCTGCTTCTGCTACCTTAAAAAAAAAAAAAAGTCACTATTCAGTAAGCATCAGGTTTTTCATCTGTTCAGCACCGAAGAGTTTGCATAGGCACTCGTGTGTAAATAACTGCTGTAAGGAAGATGCACGAAGCAAAACTGAGCGTTAACTGATGGGATGGTGTTGCTGTTCTGTTGGAACCATATTGGGATTTCCCCAAATCCTGGTTTAACATTAATAAAGCTTCCTATATTTGGGGAAAAATAGGCTGTGAACTTCCCCAGGTAGCTGAATTCATGTAATGGAGGATCGATGGGTGGCCTTTGATGCCATCCACAGAGGATGAGCCGTCGAACAGCCTGGGCAGGAGCAGGGCGGGAAGCACAAGGAAACTTCCCTTTTGGTGCTGGTGAGCTGTTGGGTGTGAGCTTAACGTGCTGTGAGCGAGCATCCCCGCTGTGTAAGGTTGCAGGTTGACAGGGCGTCGTTTCAAATAAAACGAGCCCATGCTGAGAGCTAATTCACGTAGTACAAAACTGCCCTGATTCTCCCTTCCTGGATTTGAGAAAATGAAATCAATCTCGTTGAAGATTTAACAGCCTTTCATCAGAAGGGGGCATATTAAGTACCTATTACTTAACCTTAAAATAAAAAGTCAAATCTAGTACAGCATTACTTCAATTGTCCCACAGAGCACAGGGTTGGTTTGGGTTTTTTTTTTCTCCCCATTTCACATTGTTTTGCTGAATTGCAGCAGGTAGCAGCATTGTTTTATCTTACCAGTCTATTTGATGCCAGTCAGACAAATGTCAACCTTGTCTTGGGAGAAGTTGAGATCAAAAAGTAACGTTCATTCTGTTTCTTCCCCCCTCCTCCCCCCCTTGACTGAGAACTTGTTTATGCTCTTAAGTAACACCTGCAAGCACAGTGTCTGCTTCCTGTACGTTTTTGGTGCCTTTTTCAAATTGTCATACAGTTATTTCTCAAAACCACTTCAGTTCTACCTCTAACTTATTTTCTTAAACAATGCTTTCATTTGAGATCGGATTTTGCCATTTTTACCTCTTCAATATTTAAGCAATGTTTACCTTTTCTTTAGCTTATACATAGGATGTCCTCCAGCACTGGACCACGATATCCTTCTGGTCCAGTTCCATCATAGGTGTGTTCCTAGCAGAGTGCACCTGGCTTTGGCAGTGGCTTTGGCTTCACGTTCTTGGATATTCCAAAAGTGTAAATTTATGCCACTTTTTCAAACCCCCTCACCTCCCCCCCCCACTCCAGTTACCTTATTTGTTGGTTTGATTTGGTAGTAGCATGACAGAGCTACATCACATTCTCTACTTTCTGTTTTTAGCAAGTCAAAAACACCAGGTAAATGACTGATAAACTTGCAGGTAAATACCCCGAGATCACCTCTCTTGCATCCTTTTACTGAATGCCTACTTTTCACATGTTTTGAGTCTGTGACGTTGAGATCCTGTGGACTTCCAACATCTCCTCTCTAGCATCTATTACCCACTGTTTAATTTGTTGTAACTGCTCCATAATGTTTACCCTTAGGGACAAATAGTTATTTCTTACATTATTATGGAAGTGAAAGGGTTCATGGGTAAATCTCTGGGAGGGGAGAGGAATTTTCATGCTGGAAGGAGAGGACAGAGGTAGCTGCATCAGGAGCACAGGAGCCCTAGATCTGTTTGGAGCAGCGTGGCCCACTCGATGCAGTAATGAATGGAGCAGGCTTTCCTAATTATGTAAAGAATGCCCAGTATATACATAGGGCGATCAACGATGAATTGGGATTGATTCTGCAGTGGACGGATACCATTGCCCTTCCCCATGCAGCATGAAATGCCAACACGTAACCATAAAAACCCAGCAGTTTGGCTGCTGGGAAAATGAGGGATTGTATATGCTGGCACTAGATGTCAGTTCTGCCCGTGGAGAATTGGAGCGGGAGGCAGTTAAATACTGTCCGACGAGAATTTCCATGGGCATGTTTCAGAAAAAGCGTCCTTTCCTGTGCGGTACCAGATACATCGGCGCTGCCCAACTCTGGAACGGAGCGACGGCTCATGCAGATTGGCATACACCCCTGCAGAGTGCATTCCTAACAGACCCATCCATCTCAAAATACAGCATGAAGAGAACAACACAGGTTTCTTTTGAAGTTACTCAATCGTATTCGTATGCTGCTACGGGTTGTTCCGGTTAAGAGTGTGCTGTTTCATACGTGTTCATGCTGCACCATTCTGGAATTCATTTTTTAGCATCTGCTAGATCACTGCTCTTTAAAACGTGAACACAGCCAGGACGCTGAAGCGCATCCAAGTTTAGCTAATGAATGCCAATTTGTTTGGCAGTGGCGTCTAGAGGAACCCAGGTGGCCTTTAAGAATGCTGCGGCTCGAGCTTGCAACAATACCGGAAGCAGAAACCCGTGGATCTCTTCTTAAGGAGACATTTTTAATGGAGATATTACCTTTTTTCCTTTTTTTTTTTTTTTTTTCCTCTTGTAACCTGAACTGTGATGCAGAAACACTTATCAGGCAGGTGGTGGCGAAGAGCAGGAAGCCGAGGCAGCGGTCTGCCTTCCGGGACGTGTCTGGGGAAACTGCCAGGCGCTCGGCCTGCACCTCAGGTGTACGGGAGCTCCTCCTCAGAAGCTGAAAGCACACCTGAGGTACTGAGATTAATAAAATACATGTGTACTTCTACAGTGGTATGTAAAAATATTTTACTTCAAAGGTTCCAGAAGTGCATACCGAGTGACTGCAGGTGGGGAATGGAGAAAAAAAAAAAAAGGAACATTTCAGATTTAAAATACAGCATATATATATATATATAGCCATTGCTACATTTACATTAGAATTCATGCTGGGCAGAGGTGAGAAACAACTCCGAGGGAAAAAAAAAAAAACCCTTCCAAATCGGCGGGGCTCCCAAAGCCGGGGTGGGGTGGAGGTGGTGGAAGGCACCGGGGCAAAGCTGCTGGTTTTGGAAAGAGGATGCGGCGAAGTGGTGCCTCCCTCGGGAGGGGTGGGGGAACATTCCACTCCCTGAACCGGGGGGG